GGCTGCAATCCCCAAGGTCTGCATTTCGAAAACACCAACTGCTCCTCAGGAGACAGATGGGGCACTTTACTCACTTAATCAGTCACAGTCTCGGAAACCCACAGCAGATCCCTATGAGTCACCCTCGACTCGGTGACAATGAGGTAGGGGGGGGTGTTTTGTTTTGGGGGTGTTTTGCTCCAATGGTACATGGGATAATGTCTTGTCATAATCTCTTATTATGAGCATTTTGGGTGTACTTCTTCCAAGATGGATTATTTGTTCTTTTGGCAGTGTATGGTACTTTCAATATTATTTGCCAACACCATAAGTCACATGCACCAGCTTGTCTCTGGTCTTCCTGATTCAGGGTCCAGCTTCCACATTCATATGTGGCAATTAAAAGTCGCCTGATTTGGGCCAGGTGCACTTTAGTCCTCAAAGTAATATCTTTTTATTTTAATGAAATTGTTTGCAGCATACTTGTATATCAAATGTTTAAAAGAAACAAAACTGGTCATACAAGTGGATGAGTCAGACCCTTCTTTGTTTAGACACATGCAAATCCTGGTATCCAGAAGGAGATGGAGCAATACATAAATCCTTCTATTTGAGCCCCAAGGCTTTGAGGGACCTAGCCATACTTTGCTTGACTAAATCAGAGCATGTAAAATGTCTCTAACATGAACTGTTATAAGAGGGTTAGCCAGGCTTGTCGGGGTACAATAAAATGGATTTCAGCTGTGTAGACATGATACAAAGGTGAAAGTTTGTGCTGTCTGAATATGTCAGTAATTCCTTGTAGTTCTCCTCTGGCCACAGGCTGGATGTGGTATGCCTCATGTGAGGGAAATAAGTAGAAGCACTGTGCCTAATCATGAGTTTGGCATAAAACACTCAACCTGCAAATCCAGTTCCCAAAACCTTCCCCTCATTCTCTTCTGACAAATCATGTTATATTTCTCTTTTGACAATAATAGCATAATTAATGTTCCCGGTGTGGGTGAAGATGAGCTGTTCTATTGCTCAGAATGTCTCCCCCTAATAATGGAGTGAGACATTCTGGCAAAACCTAAAAGAGTATATAAAAGTGGTGCTTTCAAGCGGGTGTAGTGAGGAAAGCTGATGGTGCTCAGCTACCAAAAGATATAGCACCTGAAGCCTTAAAGACCTGAAGATAAACAAGCACCATCTAGCTGAGACAACAAAACCCACATGGAAGAAGCACACCAGCCTACCCCTA